GGAAGTGTATGTAACAGGACGGACTCAGGTTATTTTAGCCCCAAAATTTTTGTGTAACTGTATGTTTGAAATTCAATTTTAGAAATTGAAAATTTACGGTTTTCTACATAAAAAGGTACTCTCATTGAATATCGATAAATTGTGCTGTTTTTGCATAAAATCAAACTACAAAATTTGTCACATGATAGGAAATGTACTGCGAATTTAAATGAATTTTTGATTATACATATACAAAAAAAAGTTGTTTTGATTTGTTATGACTTATTTTGACGTTATGCTGACATTGTTAGCAGTGTACAGTTACTATATTAAAATCAAAATTTTTATCAAATCGATTGAAACTGTCAAGATTTACAGACAGAGAACTGACTGACATGGATTTTGTGTACGGGTTTTGCAATGGCAGTTCTTTTGAAGCCATAAGGGAATATCAAAGATTTCCCAATCGCATAGTACCTGGACGTCGAATGTTTACTGATATTCACCGGAATTTGTCAAACCGTGGAGGTTTTCAGCGCATGCAGGGCCCAGGAAGGCCACTGGGAAATCATCGTATGGATATTGATATATTCAAAAATGGCACAATTTATCGATATTCAATAAGAATACGTAGAAAACCCTAAATTGTCAAATTCTAAAATTGAATTTCAAAAATAGAATCACACAAAAATTTTGTGGCTAAAATAACCTGAATTCGTCCCTGTTACACACGCTTCCAAGCAAAACTGTCTAAAATTGTTAATATTTTTAAATGCATCATAAGAAACTGGGCTAGAATACCGAATTTTATATCTTTATATCTACACGTTTCGGAAATATAAGGAAAAACTATCTTCAGGGGAGCCCCTTTAAAAGACCGTAGCGCCCTTAGGAGACGTTTGTCGACCTATATTTATATAAACTTTTCTTATTATTTTAAGCTCTAGAAACCGCTGGTAGAATATTGCATACTTTTTTAGGGACACCCTGTATATATATACGAGTAAATATAAATCACAGTTAAATATGGAAGACATGCGAAGCAGGCCCAAGGGAGGCACAAGTAGTTATTATTATATTTTACAATTAATATTATTAAACTTATTTTTGATTTAGTATTAATAAATACAGTCCTATTTATAAGTGTGCCTACTACATCAGTGTTAATGTGTATTTTATTTTTGATTATGTCACAATTTTGTTTTCCTTTCCTTTTAGTAAATCATTCAATGTTGTTATTGTGTTTTTTTTTTCTGATATGCTCGACCCCCCCCCCCCCCCCCGCCCCTTAGTATTGACGCGCCCCACAGGTTGAGAAGCGCTGCCGTACTACAGGAACACGCCAGCATACACCTCATTTATGGGGAATGTAAATTCAAAGCTAGTGCTTTATCGTCAGAGGTTCCCAAATCCTCCTCGCAATCCCGATTACCGAGTTTTTGTGAATGTGCACCGTTGACTTTCAGCGGGACGATTCCCAAATCAAGCAAATGTTGAAGGAATAGTTTCCTTTTTTCACAAGGACGTCGTACTCTACAGACAGTCGAACGAGACCCGAATAATTCAGTACGTCAAATAGAAGCAAGCATGGGAGTGCCTACAACTACAACCTGCGGAAGCTTGAGGAATAACAAGCTTCATCTGTACCACCTACAGCAGGTACCATCTCTACAAGATAGACAAGATAGATCGCAGTATCGTTTTGAAGTAAACATGTGGACAGGGATTCTAAATGGTACCCTTTGAGCTGTCAGAGCTTTTGAATGGCGAAATTTATTTAGACTTTTTACAAAATCATTTACGAAACTTATTGGAAGTCGTGCCGCTAAGCACTTACAGAGACATGTGGTACCAGTAAGGCGGCTACCCTGCCCGTTCAGTTAAAGAACGATGCGGAATACCCAAGCAGATGGATAGGGTGGTCTGGTACAACTTAGTTGCCAGCCGGTTCACCTGACTTGTATCCACTCGATTTGCTTTACTGGGGATCGGTGAAAGGAGAAGTTTACTCAAAGCCAATTGAAAATTTAGCTGAGCTACCTGACAGAATAACGGAAGCAGCTGAAATCGATATAATGTAATTTTCAAGAGTCGGTGCCTCGGTAACTAGTTTTCTGTCTACGCGGCCACATCAGTATGAAAAAGTAAGTTATGTTTTGGCCACCGCGTATTTGAGCCATAAAGCCTTGAATTGCCGAGAATCGAGTCGCACCTTGCTCTGCAAAGTTACCGCATAGTTCATATTTGTCTTGAAGCATATCTTGCAGCAAAATAGCCAGACTGCCAGCCTTTCTCGGCGATGTTCTGTTTGAGAAAAACATGCAATTAACTCCAGCAATTTTAATGAGGGTTGTTTGCCGTAATTTAATTTCAAGGAGATGTAAATTAACATGGCTGCCAGGGTAGCTGTAGCTTTAGTCTGAGCACAGCTAAACATCATAATAAAACTTCTCAAAACGCAGTTTCATAGTGGGCAATTTTTTGGCAGCTTAAAGCACTCCAATTCCTGCATCTGTGGAAAAGTGGGTTGTTTCCAATAATGAGTTTCTTACAGTACCGGACGGTCCTTTTTTCATTCATTTTAATTTCTTTTGATGACTGTATTTGAGAGTTCCTCTTAGTCAGAAATCCAGCTATTCTCAATAGTACGTATACTTATACCCAAATAGAACTGCAACGATCGATTTCTCAGAATGTTGACGTGAGACAGTTATAAAGATTTGGGTTTATAGTGTAACCTATAAAAGCAATTCGGCTGAGGTATTTTTAAAATGGTAGCATTTCCGGTTGTACCAGAAGTAGATATGAACTTGCTCATTTTCAAAATAACATCCTGAATATTGTTCAATTTTTGGATTCTACATGGGGCTATAAATACATTTGATGTACATCATCACATAAATGAGTCTAAACGTTTTTGAGATATCTCAAATTTTGCGCAAAAATGACAAATGCCAGCCAATGAACTGTAATAGCGTTTTCTTGTACTTTTGCCTTTACCCTACGACTTGTACTTTAGTAGATTTTAGTCGGATTTTGATATTCAATAGTACAGGGTGGTTAAAAAACGAGCATGAATATTTGAGTCAAACTCAAAATACCAATCTTTTCAAACAGACATCCCTTTGTATCATCTCCTAAGCCCTAAGTATCCATCACGTTTTAACCTCTACTTTATTGATCTGTAACGTTGGCAATAATGAATCAGGTATGAATATCGTAAAACCTGCTAGTAGCGTTTTTTGTATGCAAATGGCTTTTATAAATAAAAGGGCTGTTATCAAGTACAAAATGAATCTGTAGCGTACAAAAAACCCAAACAAAATACGCCTCTGCCTACGTTAACGCATCCATCAGAGTAATATGTCATTCATCGATGTGGGGAATTTTGAAATATTACTAGGTAATCAGCGGTTATTCTGCCGTAATGGATACTCGTGAAGAAGACAATGTATTGACGAGTTATTATTTTTTCTTATCAACAGGTGCAGCTGCCAACCTGTTACCTAATGACTAACTGGCAACATACCTAACTTACAATTTCGCATGACACATAACTCAGAAATACGAAATCTGACACACTAACTGTAAGCGACATACCACACTATAATTTTATCAGCCCAAATTTCGGCTTACTAACTTGGCCTGTTCAAAAAAATTAGTATGCGAGACCTTTTTGAAAAGCACTGTATGTCTTATAAGTATTTCTGGGATTTAACATAGCTAAAAATAAATAATGTATGTTACACAAATTGCTGCTACAACATTCACTCAGGAACTGTCTCTGACATCTGCACTTATAAAAGTTGTCATTATATATGTCAGAAGTGACAAAGCAACCGTCGTCCAATGTATCGGTTTTCTACAATAAACAGCTTTGCATTGGCATGCTAAGATTGTGAGCTTTATAATTTTAAGCACTAAATTAAATGTCAGCGTTTTATAAGATTGTCTACTACGCACGCTAGAGCTTTCCCAGATATATGGAAATATTAGTTTTTCTTTTGCGTAAATGCCTTTTAAATCGCCCGATTTCGGCCATGGCCAACGGGGATTATCTTATGGAACATTAGACTACAGAAAATATTTGCACATACCTCGACCACTACTAATTTACGAAGTAGATAATTTATACAAAGTTGAGCTCATTTTCAATTCTTGACGAAAGTATGAAATCGCTGGTTTCCATTTGAAAAAATGACTTTTTGGGTTTTCTAAAATCCACCTTTCATTCTCTTTTTTGACCACCCTGTACTTTTGCCAGCAAAATACGGTATAAAATCTATTAAAGTATTCTTTTAATTGAAGCCAGTTACAAATCATATTGCAAAAGCAAAAATACGGGAAAAAATTAATCTGAATTTACTAGACACAATTTGAGATAACGGTTAGACCTAGGTATAGAGTGATATACACAAAATGTATTTGGCTTCATCCGTATAATCCACAACTGATGGTATCATATTTCAAACAAGCAACACTTTGAAAATATGTTAAGACAATTGCTCGTATTAGTTATACCTGAAGATTAAATTCTCATAATTGTCAGACTTCATCTTTTTGAGTAACCAATCGCTACAGTTCTACATAAGACACCCCCTTTAGCAAGAGTTTTCATTCACAACTTCAAGATGAAACCACCAATTGCTTGACAGTGTCTTCGGAAACACAAAACCATCCCAACCGAAATCGAATCGAGGCCGAGCTGCTTTTGGTAAAAGCAGTACCAGATTTATTGATCAGAACAATACCGTTTTTTTACAACTCATTACCTCTCTGGCCGCAAGATATCCACGTAATTGACGGGTTATTACCTTCATCTCATAAAGTAAGCGCGGATGTTCCCCAGGAATCGGTCGGTTTCGATATTGCTTCTATCACATTTAAGCGACTTTCTTTCTGTAAGATTAATCCGATCCCAGTTTTTCTGATGTCAGCACTCTACAGACTGCCAAGCCGGTCTCTGCAGGATGGAGAGAAGAAGACCATCACCGTCTACCTGTCTGATGAACAACCTGAAGGCTATCACTGCTGGAGGACACAACAATCTGGTATAGTTTAATACTTCAAGGCAATAAGAAGCGTCCTAGCGCTCATCTGGTTTCGATAGATGGCCGAGTTCAGCCAAGAACTAGCTAGGCACAGCGAAGATGACCAAGGACTGGACTTAGCATGAGCACATCTCGAAGCTAAGCTATGCGTTTAGGGCTAAGGATTAATTTTCTCCGCATAATCTTCTCAGTCTGTACAAGGCACAGATAAGACCTAGCGTCGAGCGTTGCTCACATTTTTGGGATGCTGCCGCCCCGATTCGATTGTTCATGCTCAGTGCTGGTCAGACTAAGGCTGTCAGACTGATCGATAATTCTCCTGCAATGGACCCTTTCGGACCGATGGCCCGTCGGCGATCTGGCTCTCTTCTACTCCTATCTCGATGAGCTTCACTCCTCATAGCTTTCCATCACGATGCTACCCTGCGATGAGTCTCCCAGATAAGCCCACCGGACGTCGGCCTCTCATTCCAATTGTGTCCAACTTCGCACATGCAGAACTGGCCGGTCAGACACCTCCTTTAAGCCAAGAATGTGAGAGATTGTGGAACAATCTACCTGAGGTGGGTTTTCGAAGTTCTGCTAACCTTGGGCAGTTCAAAAGTTGAACTAGCTAAATGTCTTTAAGCTCGTTAGAACGTTCGGGGTGCCCCGATGACTAGTTTTCTGAATATGCGGCTGCCTCGGTATGAAAAAATCCTTAAAAACAAAATCTAGATGGAAATCTATGAGCACGAAATTAATTTGCTCTATTATGAGCACAGCTCAATTTCATTAGAAGGAGGATGCTGGCTGATACAAAATCCCGTAGAACGATATACCGTCGCATACTCATTCTCGTATACTAGTAGTAGCAGTTCAGACATTAGTCGGTTCTTAATTTGCTCTGCGCGCCTTGAGCGGTGCGCTGCACGCTGAAAATTAGCGGGAAGGGAAAATGAGGGCGCTGAAAGCGGATTTCGCAATGGGCCATGCTGCGAAATTGGTTCACCCCAATTATTTTATTTATAATAAACAGAATATGAACGTAGATGAAAGGTGCATTGTCAGAAAATGCAAAATAATCCCTTTAGCACGGTAGGAGAACACAAAGTTTTGCCAAAACCTCACAAATACTCTATAATGGATACAAATGCGGATTTATGTACTTGAAATAGTCTTGTTTAGCATAACCGAGAGTTCCGAATAATACGGTAGGTAGGAGCTGCAAACTTTATTGAAAGCTTTTTGATTTCAGATTTTTTTGTGGCATCAAGTAGACTAACCCTATGCTTCCTAGACATTCGTCAGAGGTTTCAAAGAAAGTCGTTTCAAAAGGGCATATTTCTGTTTCCACGGCAAATCCAGGGAAAACATGTGTGAGTCATTATATCTAACAGCTGCATAATATTACCTCTATCAAGCATGCAACAATTTACCGCATACAGCTCCAATACACAATATTCAGTGCTTCAATCCAATGTCTGAAAATGAGCAGGAATCTCCGAACTGTGTTCTTTGTTTTTATTTCTTTGTCCGTAGTTCCGTTGCTTCTGAATCAGTTTTTCAAATCTACGACTACCTAAACCTAAACTTTGTAAGTTGCTTAAAGATATATCTGCGTCTGCAAGTTGATGTTTATCATTTATGTAGGTTTCGCATCTGCTGTGTATAAATACATTACAGGTACTGAGTCAATCTGCTTGGGAAAGTATTCAGAGAATCATAAAATATTGAGTGAACAAATAAAAGGTAGAAGAAATGGCGGGTACATTTAAGGGTCATAAAATTCAGAAAAATATATGTGTAGATATAAGATCAATTAAGTCATCATTTACAACATCATCGAGGAACGCTAAATTAATACGTTCTCTTAATACACAAATATTGCTGAAATGTGTAAATATTTCCCTGTAGTGGTGTGTCCGTGTCTACATCAAGACCTAGTTAGTTACTTGTTGCTACAGTGAGCAGTGGCCTCCAGGATGATGCAGCGCCTCAGTAGTTCATCGCACATATACTAAGTTGTATAAGTACTTAATGAAGCATAATAAGTAAATGATAAAAATTTCAAAATGATTGCACTGCTTTAAAGCCCTTTGACCTTTAATAATGTGTGGATGCACCCTGATGTGCTACACATTCTCCAACGCGCCTAGGCATGCTTCTAATCAGGTGGTCGATGTCCTCCTGTGGTAACTCATTCCAGGCAACCACCAACTCCTCTCGAAGTGCTTCTAGAGTCTGAGGAGGACGTTGCAAATTAAGCAATCTCCTACCCATCATATCCCACACGTGTCCAATTGGGGATAAGTCGGGAGGTCTTGGTGGCCATGGTAACAATGTGACATCACTATGTTGAAAGAAGTCTATTGTGACTCTTGCAACATGTGGTCGGGCATTATCTTGTTGGAAAGTTCGATCTGCCAGGGTGTCAAGATAGGGTAAAAGATGGGGTTCTAGAACTTCGTGGATATAACGCTGCGCGTTCATGTTACCTCTGATGAAGATTAAAGGTGACCTGGAACCATAAGCTATAGCACCCCAAACCATAACTCCAACAGTGTGATGAACATGTCTTTCAACAAAAAACTGTGGATTCCTCCTTTCACCACGTCGCCTTCTAACCGTGGCACGACCATCGTGCATGCCCAATCAAAATCGAGACTCGTCACTAAAGACAATACTGTTCCATTCCTGATCCCAGAGTGACCGTTGTCTGCACCACTCAAGACGACTACGTCGGTGTTCTCGAGTTAAAGGGAGGACCCAGTGTGGCCGGTATGAAAACAAGCCAAAACTTCTCATTCGTCGGTAAACACTTCGCATGTCAATAGGTCTTCCGTGTTCTGCAAACCATTCATTTGCAATGGATCTGGTAGTGGAGAAACGGTCCCTTAAGGCCAATAATCTTAGGCGGCGATCTTCACGGTCTGTTGTTCTACGGCGGCGCCCACTGCCCCTTGCTCTTTGCGTACGGCCTTCTCGAAGCCGTGCCTGCCAACACCTAACCACAGTGTCTACACTTCTTTGCACTCTAACTGCAATTGCCCGAAAGGAAAGTCCAGCTTCCCGAAGTCCCACTATACGGCCCCTATCAAACTCACTAAGTTGACGAAATCGTACAGGTCTCCGTACTCTAGGCATCGTAACCGATCGTAAAGGATGTCAAGAACCAAAATCCGCCAACGTTGATTCTTTACTGCGGCTGAAATTTTCATTTTCAGAGCGTTAGTGAATTAAAAAAAAGCAGTATAGAAACCGGAATGTCCAACTGATAAGGCTGAACATTTTTGCACTTGTTATTTACAGTAAGATAATTGCATTCACCAACTTTTATTAAAATAAAACCATTTAAACTGGGTGTTCGGATTTATATGTCACTTAGTATACAACGCCGACTTATTTTGAGCACGTTATACATCGGACTTTTATCATTTAATTTTCCCGTTGTTACCGAAATCAGAAGCTTTTCAATGATAGAACGTCTTGACTGATACTAAAGACGTAACATTTACAACTTCCTACCCCCTGCAACTCCCAACCCTTACGAACATTTTTTCGAACATGATCAGGAGTCTCTGAGTCGTCAAAAATCGAAGTTTTATCTTGTTTCGGACCGTACCCTCACTGAACCGATTTTATAGTAGTAATAATGGGTAAAAATTTCAACAAGATCAGCCGCCAAGTTATAGGCGGTATAAGATTAGCGGACTAACCGAGAGACAGACAGAGTGACATGGTTTTTCGTGATGTACATGTCAGATGACATCCATAAAACATAATATCCCATTTTCGGAATTTTTCGGGATGACAGTAATTCCTCCGCCAGTGGCGTAGGAAGTAAAAGCTCCCAAGACCATTTTTTAGCTTGCTAAATAAGTTGTTTCTATGATATCTTCATATCTACATTATTTTATGAAATATGGTCAATTTTATTGTAGCTGTGCTAGGTGCATACGTGAATGCGCATAGCTGGATTTGGTATATACGAATGTAGTTAAGGTCAATTCATATACGAGTAGTTAGAATAACGTTATTGTCACTGATGAGTTGCTGCTGAGTACAGCGCGGTTGATCATACAGAGAAGGAAAGCAAATATGTCCATTCCATCAATGATGTTTATTAAATAATGGTGAATGGGTATACATCTCAACGTACGTGTCTCCTACTTAAGGATATATACTCATATTTTATAAGCAATTAAAAAACAACCACGTACTATAATATTATCCCCTAAAATCCTATGAGACTTTGTTAATGGATACTTGCTGGATACTTGCGAACTTTGGTCACATTAAAATTATCATTGTTTTTCGATGTCGCGTATTTTGCACTTTTTCAAACATCAAATTGCTACATCAGTGGATCAAAAATACTCAAATGCAGTTCCTACTTCTCAAGCATCAAAATAACTTTCGGGCTATGTTATTTATTGACCGCATTCAGCAAACGATAGCACGGTAACGCTATAGCCAGCACTGTTATATTTTCTCAAATCAAACCTTTGCTGTATATTGGGTGTTTCAATCGATTCTCATCATTGAGATCTCGGAAATGGTGAGATATACAAAGTTGGTTAAATACGGGCAACGTTGATAATTAAAGTAACTTAAGAAATGACAATCAGGAAGTTTGCTAATTCCGAAAAAGAGACCATTTTTTGAAAACCGTCTTAATTTTTTCCTTACTTTATTTGAGAGGGGGTTTTAAAAAATACAATAACATTGTCACTTTTTATTCTACAAGGTGGTATAATTGAAAGTTCAATGTGAGGTCTTATCCCTTCTCTCCAGGCAAGAACTCTTTTTTTTTGCTTACAGACGCCAAATTGAATTTTTGCACGGTTGAACGGTTTGTAATTCTGATTCCAATAAACTGTATGTCATATGTTGACATTGCCAAACCTTAGCCATTTAAAGCAGAATTTCCTAAGTAGGCCTTAAAATTATCATATAGACATTTTTTATACCAAAGCAGCCCAGCAGACAGAAGCCTAAATACCGGGGCACTTTATGATCCTATTCTTGGACTGCCTGAAGCTAGTAGAACTGGGAAAATCCTCCCCATGTAGCGTGTTCTACAATCTCTGTACCGTAGGGACAAGGGAGCGATTGTATGGA